GAGGGTCATCATTCTTGGGAGGGTGGAGGGACAGCGCAGGAGGGGAAGGCCCTCTATGAGGTGGATTGATTCAGTGACTGGGATAATCAGGATGGGAGTGTCGGAGACGGTGCGATTGGCACAGGACAGAGCAGAGTTTAGGGCTGTTGTACATAGGGTCACTATGAGTCGCAAGCAACTCGACGGCACATAACAACAACAAGCTAAAAATTAGGTAAAGTTGTAAATTATTACCTAACTTGGAAGGGAATGGCAAGCATTATGCTGAGTGAACTAACTCAATCCACAAGGACAAATACTATATAAAAACCATTATTGTAGAATGAGTATAAGGATCCAAGGCGCGGTGGGGGAGGGTAGAAGCAGAGGGATGAGGATGTGCAGAGGGAAGGGAGGTTTAATTATGGAGTTGTACAATTTGATGGGGGGATGAGGGAAATTGGAAGATTCTGTTCTCAAAGACAATGTATTTGAATTTTGTAAATAAACTAGTATTAAAAAATTAGGGAAAGACTCATTCTCAAAGATATTCTTTGAAAAGAACGAGAGACGTTCTAGTACAGCTCTTAAAACAATCCAGTTTAGCTAGAACAGCTTTGACAGACAGAGGTTTATAGTCTACCATACCATGCTCTTCTCAGAGAACCTATCACTTCCTTGGTTTCACATTTGTTTTAACCCCTTGTTCTCTCTCTGATTTCAATAACAGACACATTATGGTTAAGTCTTACATAGCTGTAAAAATAGAAGCAGAGAGCCATACAGAAAAAGTTTGTAATCAATCAGGTAAACACCAGACTTGCGATCATCAAACTTGATTAATCATCAAACATTTTAGTCTCTGGTTCCTTTACACACTGAAAACTTAAAAGTCTATAAAGAGCTAAGGGAGTTCTGGCAGCCTAGTGGTAAGAAACTGCACTACAATCCCAAAGGTGCAGAGTTCGAATCCACCAGATGCTCCATGGGAGGATGAACAATCTCCTTCCCTGCGATTAACTGCTTCTGAAAACCCACTGGAGGGTCAGCTATGGGTTGGTTTTGACTTGACAGTTCACAACAACATCAAAGAGCTAAAGTTAAAATTAAGTGGATTATGTCTACTAATATTTACTATAATAGATACTAAAATTGAGAAATGTTTTAAATGTCTACTTATTTTAAAATACATCTTTACATAATACATATTTATTAAAAACTATTTTATAAACACTAAGTTTTAGTGAGAAGAATGACATGATTTTATATTTTTACAAAGCCCTTTTAAGTCTGTCATAACAGAAAACAGCTGGATTTGCATACCTGCTTCTGTCTTCTATATTTTAAGACTGTATAACTGTATTATTCACTAAATAATGCTGATTTTTCAAATGCTGACCTACTTCATTACTTAATATAAAAAACCCATATTTGTTAACATCTGTCACAAACTGTATAAGTCTGGAAGTACTGCAAGTCGGGGATGTAACTACAAACTTCCCAAAAACAGATTCACTCAAAAGCTAAATTTTATCACTGGCAACATATTTCATTAGTTATTTTGTTTGATTCATAATTTTTTTTAAGTTCCTACTGAATACCAAGTCTACATAATGGTCTGGCAGTTAGTGTTCCGAGAGAGACTGGTGTGCCTGAAAAAAGCAGCTCCTTCAGTTGACATGTAAACCTCCTAACTGCTTTCCTTAAGACGTTCATCCTGCCGGTTCTGCCAGAAGTGCTCTGCTCAGTACATGCTTCCTATTTTGTCACACAGAATATAAAAACATATGTACTCAAGAAATAACTCTTATTAAAATTGAAGCATTACTGCTTATCAAGGACTTCTCTTGTGAAATTGATTTCTTTTTTTCTTTTTACTGAGAGTGAGTGGTGGCAAAGACTACAACTGCTAATAAAATTTGGTGTGACTGCCTTGATTTGTGCTAAGACAACCAGCATCTCATTACAAAAAATGGCAAATAATGTCTTACTATTAATACGTGAACAGCTTCACTTTTGGAGAACTGCTACTCTACAAACAGAAACAAAACTGACAACAAAATAAGGAGAACACACATATATGGAAACTGAAAAGAAGAAATGATCATAAATTATATATTACTCCAGCCCATTAACTGATGAAATCACCATCAAAATCAACTATTCTCATTTCAGAAACACCAATATCTTGCTCTGCTTGTTGTTATTGTTGTTTACTCATAAAGGTTTAAAAAAAAAAAAAAGACAGAAAACTCTGATTCAATCAAATTTCCAAATATCCTGTCTGGAAAATTTTATTTTATAACAGGCTGCACAATTATTATATCAGACATCTCAATGAGCCATTGGACTCTATTTGTATCTTAGAAGCCCAGTAGGATCAGAAAACATTGCCACTGGCAGACTGCAAGTAATTATAACTTAACACAAGTGAACAATAAACCATTAGTGTCTCCATGACACCTTCTCTATTAAACAGAGGGGCCATTTTTAAGTTTTTTATAGAAGACAAATTAACAGAGTCAGTCAAACTTACAAAACAGACAGAAAAGAGGGAAAGTGCTTTCAGAGTAATTTCACTCATTATTTTCTATAAATTTCCAAAGCATTTTCCTCCCACTTATCACAATAAAACTGAGTATTACATAAGTTTTTTAGTGGCAGAAATAAATTTCTCAAGGCTCTTTACAAATGTAAGAATCAATGATATAGGAAAGGATTGGAGAAAACACTAAAGTATAATGTAGACCCAAAGTCAAAATAGCAGTCTAAATTAGAAAGTTATTAAAAAAAAAACAATTATAAATTTCACAGGGGCAGTGAACTATGTTCATGTCACACCATGAACTGCCAGCACCCAGCAGTGTTGTAACAAGACACACACAAAAGAGTTTATGAATGAATAAATGGTCGATTAAGGCTGGGAAAAGAAATGATGAGGCAGAAGCATGAATTAAATTTCCATAATCTAAAAAGATGACTCCTCAGCAAATGAGCTTTAATTAAAGCACAAATATAGGTAAAAGCATACATTTTTATACAGTTACATTTAATTAACCATGCATACCCACCAGGCTTGACGTCCTTGTAAACAAAGTTTTCCAAGCCATAAATGAACTCCCCTGAATGTGCGCCTGCATCCGCATGGCAGCAATAACCAAAATGCAAACCATTTTAAAGACACCTTTAATTTCATGCATAAAATATGTTTAAAATTAATTCAAAGGATTAGACATTTTAGTAAAACATAGTGACACTATCTCAATTCTTTCAACACACAATTTTTATTTTTTAAAAGTGTAATAGTTTAAGAACACAAGGCAGAAAAATATTGCATATGGCTAACAGCCCACTGACTTATTTAACACATTTTTCTAATAGAATGAAAGCTCACTGTTCCAATTTTCTTTATATACCCCATTTTGTCCATCTTTAGAATAAAACTGTATGATATTTCACACAAACTTTAAGGTATCATCCTCAATAAACTTTAATAAATGACCTCATTTTACTATATTGTGATCTGTTCCCTTTAGAAATAGAGTGGGGGGAGGAGGGGTGGGCATGGAGAAAAATGCAACAAGGAATGAATAAAAATCCAAAGTATCTGTAAACATTCATTAAAATTAATAATAATAAAAAAAATAAGAAACAGTCTGAGTCCTTTACAGCTATTCTTGTAAATAACGGCCAGAGTCAATAAGCACCATTTTCTACGTCCTTCCTCAGATCCATCCTAGATACAGGCTACTTTCCTTAAACCTAAGATTTGATCATATCACTCACTGTTATTTACAAAGGACACTTAAAGATTTACCAATATTAAAATACATATGCATGTAAAACTCAACACAGAGTTAAAAACATGAGATCTAGAGCCAGTTAGGGCTTAAATTCTAGCCCTATCAGTTTCTAACTGGTGACCAAATTTGTTATTAACTTTCTGCTTCCTAAACTGTAAAACAGCATAAATGTTATTACTGTGACATTTAATGAGTTAATTCATAAAAATTACTTCTAAAATAACTGGCAAATGAAAGTGACCAACAGATGCCAGGTTCTTTCTCCATCACCATCATCACTATGACATTCAAATTTCTTAAAAATCGACCTAAACCTAACTTTCCAATTTTACTTCCAACTACACTACATCATCTTGTTATGCTTCAGAGAGTTGAACAATGACCAAGGATTGACAGAAGAATAGATATCTTCAAGTTGTGGTGCTGGAGAAGAGTCTTGAACATACCATGGACTGCCAAGAAAACAAACAGGTCTGTCTTGGAGAAGGTGAAACCAAGTCTCTCCTTGCAGGCTAGGACTTTGAAGTGCTGCCTCACTTACTTAAGGCACGTGGTCATGAGAGATTGGTCCTTGAAGAAGGACATCATGCTTGGAGGGGTGGACAGACAGTGAAGGAGGGGAAGACTCCAGATAAGATGGATTGATACAATAAATGGAGCAATGGGGGTTGGTGTGTCAGAATTAGTGAGACTGACTCAGGACAAGGAAGGGTTCAGAGCTGCTGTACATCGGTTTGCTATGCATCACAGGAGGCTCAACCAATAACATTCTATGGCAGGTTTGGAAGCAGGAGTGGCATCCACTTCCTAAACAACATACCTCTGGAAACTATGAACTTTGATAAATGTCTATTGTTGTAGAGGGGCTTCAGGCCTTTTGTTCATAGGATTGCTATGAGTAGTGCTTGACTTGACGGCAATCAACAACACTACATCAAATCCCAAATTAGTAGGTAATATTGGTATATGTGCCACACTTTTCCATTTTCACTGCCCCTCTATCTAGACTGAATCTCATTTCTGCATGTATATCCTTTAGATCCAGCTGAAATGTAGTCTTTTGCTTTTCCCATATCTCACTGGCTAAGCACGACATACCTATGTGAACTTCCATAGCACATCAGCTTACTTCCTTCATGGGACACAGCATTCTTTATTTTCTCAACTAAAAGATAAGGTATTTGACAGGAGGATCAAGGGATTTTGAATTTTTTAATTTTCCAACAAGACTTACAGAAAATTTTAAGATTTCCAGGAGACATCTCAAAAGCACCTGGAAGCTGGAAGGTATTACCTTCCAAATTCGAATATTCAACTTGGGGCTGTCCAAGGAGGGGAGGAGGGGGAAAGATGAAAGAAAGAACTAACAGCTTGTTTGATACACTTGGACAATTGGATACCCATGTGACATTAATTGTCATGTAACAAATGTCACAAAAGATATAAAAATAATTAAAGTTTACAAAGAAGACAAAGTAAATTTTTTAAAAGAAGTATTTACAAATTTTTTTAAAAAGACCAAAAAACTGAGTAAAGTAAACATACGAGATCAGTACTATGGAGTAAATAATATTTTATATTATAATAATAATGAAAATAAGATCCTTGGACGGTACAAAAGGTTTGTATTCAGTAACTAATTGAAAAGTTAACATTTCAAATCCACCAAGCAATACCCTAGAAGAGATGCCTGGTAATCTACTTCCACAAGATGAGTCCTTGACAAAGCTGGGTGTGTAGTTTTACTGTAACTAACATACATGGGACTTCAAGTTGGAATCAAAACCCGTCACAGGTTTTGCTTGGTTAAATACTGAAAATATTGACTTGTAATTGGTCAAAATTGCTGAAAGTGACAAGGACTTGAAGCACTGATGATGACTGTAGTTTTCAGTATGAATTACAATATAAAGAAAACAAAAATCCTCACAACCAGATCAATTAACAATAATATAATAAACAGAAAAAAACAGTCAAGTTGTCAAGAATTACATTTTACTTAAATCCATGATCAATGCCAATGAAATCAGCAATCAAGAATTAAAACAACAAACTGCATTGAGAAAATCTGCTGAAAAAAAAACTCTTTAAAAAGTTAGAAAGCAAAAATATCACTTATAAAATTAAGATGTGCCTAAACATATTTTCAAATATCTCACATCCAGGCAAACGACGGTCAATAAATAAGAAAAATCAAAGGAGAGTGATGCCCTTGGTTTATGGTGCTGGCAAATGATACTAAATATGGACTGCAAGAAGAATGAATAAACCTGCCTTGAAAGCAACGCAGCCAGAATGCTCGTGACCTAACACATGGTATTTTCAATTGCTTCATACTCATATGGAAGTTTGTCAACAAAAGATAAGAATGAAAAAGAACAGTTGTCTTTGACTTGTAGTGTAGGAGAAAACCATGAACATATCATGAACTACCAAAACAACTCTGTCTTGGAAGAAATACAGCCAAAGTATAAGAGACAAGTAGGATAAAACTTGGACTTTTAATATTTTGGGCATATAATAAGGAAGGGCCAGGATTTGTAGGAGACAACTTGCTTAGAAAACAAGCCAGTTGGCAAAAGAGAAGAACACCCTCAAGGAGGTGTCCTCACACAGTGACTGAGCCAATTGGGTTAAATATGCTGGAGATGTGAGGATGGCACAGGAGAGGGAAGACTTCACTCTGGTGGTCAGTCACTGAACCATCTTAGTTAAAAAATTAGCACTGCTATGAACCTGGAGAAAGGACGAAAGTTATACAGGAAGGTGTCCAGGACTTCTTTCATAGGGTCACTATGAGTCACCTGCAACTCGACGGCACTTAACAACACTACCACCAACAACAGCATAGAGAAAGAGAGAGAGAGCAGTCGGTCTAGCGGACAGAAAGCCACACTCCCAAGCCAAAGGTGGGTGACTCTACTCTGTGGCCTTCAGGCCTGCCTTTAATTGTTTTTAGTGAAACATTCTTCTAGGTCGTGTAACCCTGGTATGTCCACTTGCTGTACAGACCTAACTTGTGGTTGCTGTGAAGCCAAATACTGTTCCCCATGGTGGACAGGGTTTGGTGAAACTCCCCGATTAAAACAAGCTTGGAAGCAGGAGTGGCATCCACTTCCACAACAGCTTGCCTCTGGAAACCCTATGAACCTGGAGAAAGGATGAAAGTTATACAGGAAGCATTCATAGAGTCACTATGAGTCACCTGCAACTCGACAGCACTTAACAACAACTTGTTCATAGTATCTAGAGTTACAGATAAGTGAAGACACCCTCGTAGTATCTCTGCTAGACATAAAGAATGGTTTCTTAGATAGTGAAAACTCCTAAGGGAAAGTTTCATAGGTACAAAACATATATTAGGTAATCATTCTAAAAGTGACGCATTTAGCCAATTACACTATCAACCTGACCACGTCTTTTCTTATATTCACAAAAAACACTACTAATTTTTTTTTGTTTCACAAGTTATTTCTATAAACTATTGAACATGTTTCTCAAAATGGAAAGAAATAATAAAAATATTATAAATGAAAAATGTGTAATAAAAATTATAACTGCATTATAATTTATAAATGTGTAATTATATTCTCCCATGCAATTAACCATCTCAGAAAGCCCACCAAAGGGTGAGCTATGGGTCAGTTCTGACTCTACAGTACACAATAATTATATATCAGTTATAAATGTATAATTGTATGTCATGTAAACATTATCTTACGTATATGTGGTTATGTTGTTGTTAGATGCCATCAAGTTGAGTATAACTCATAGCGACCCTAAAAATAATAGATATGAATCCTGTCTATCCTGCATTCTCCTCCTCATCTCTGATATACTTGAGCCCATTCTTACACTCATTGTGTCAATCCAACTCCCCAAGTTTTCTTCTCTTTCACCAACCCTCCTCCTTTCCAAACATAGTAAGTCCTTTCCCAAGAACTAGCCCCTCCTAACAATATGTCCAAAATAGGTGCCTCCAAGGAGCACGCTGGTTGCATTTTCTCCAAAACATACCCATTTGTTCCTCTAACATGGAACACTCAGTACTCTTCAACACCACAACTCAAAGATACCAATTTGTTGT